CTGCGTCGCGCGGGAGGTCGCCGAAGACATGGCTTTGCGCGGTAGGGTGTCCGTCCACGCCTGCTGCCTCAGATTGACTCGGGATCGCGTCTGCCTGCTCTCCAAGGTTTCCCTCCTCTCCTGCTCCTCCCTCTGCCTCTCCCGGTCCCGCCTCAGGAAGGACTGGTGTATCCTGCGCGCCGCCGTCGTCGTCAGCTTGGGCACCCGCAGCCTGGTTCGAGTCCTCGGCCGCGGATTTACTTTCTTCACGAGGATATTGGCCAGGAGCCGCGGGTGGTACTTGATGCGGTGCTGGCCCTCCTCCTCCTTCAGCTCCTGCTCGAACTCCTCGAGGATGGACGGCGGGGCGTGGCCGTTGGTCACGGCCTGGCGAGCCTTCTCCAACACGGCTTTCTCACGGCGTTTGAGTTCGATCCATCGCGTGAGGAGGACGTTGCCGATGCGCCGCGGGATGCCCTTGCGGGGGCGCTCCTGTTCGTCGGAGCAGGACAGGGCGCGGGACTCCACCTTCAGCATAGGACTCGGCGTCGCCTTGTTCTGCTTGTTACCCATCGCGCCTCCGCTCAGGCCGCTGGGTCGTCTGCATTTGTCCTGATTGCGTTACATGGCCTTCCTGTCTGTCAGATCAGATCACTTCACATAGGAAAATATATATATATATTAAAATTGTCCTGCTGTCTCTTTCAATTTCAGGCCACTTCTCTTAGAAAAGAATATAAACAATCGCCCTGTTGTCTCTTCCAATTTCAGATCACTTCTCTTTGAAAGGAAAACTAATTTGGACTTTGTTTTAACAGTAAACACTGTGATAGTTACAAAACGTCTTATTCACATCTTTATCTTTTCGTCCTGAAATAATTTCTGATCAGAGAATAAAAATGTACTCTTTTGTGCTACGAACTTACATTGTTCAATATGTTTTTCTTTTTTTTCACAAAAAAGTAAACACATTACTTATTGGATACTAAGTCATCACGCACTGATATCTTGGCCCTGAAATGGAAAAGAATAAGAGAGAATTACATTTGGGGAAAGCAAAAGGGTAACTGGATCTGTCATTTATACATTGGAGTTTTCTATCCCAGACAATATCAGATTTCTTGAAGCGTGACTATGACACCGCATTTGACTATAATTAAATAAAAGAATACATGTGAGAGCCATTTAATAACGAATCAATACATCAAAATGTTGAAAAAATACTATTTGATTATAATCAATTTAAAAACAATTCAATAAAAGATCAATAACCAATGTGATAACAATTCAACAAAATTCAAAAAGAATGAGCCCTATGCCATGACTCGACCTCACAACAAAACCGTAGAAACTCAAATTCTCCCTTTCACCCCCACGGGCAACGCTACAGGTAATAACTACACGCTATAAATCACGTGATTGTGTCAACGTCCTTGTGATCAACTGCAAAATGCCTGCGCCGGGTCCTCAGAGGGACACCAAACGTCTTATTAAGTTGCTTTCTTTATTCTTTGGGTCTTTGTGGGCGTGTCTTTTCATGTACCAATCTGTTGCTCCTGTTGGCGGAAGTATGCTTTTTGGTTCTTTCTAAGGGCGTGTGTTCCTATGTATGGCGTGATTTTTCTGAGTGTTCCAGCGTATGGTGTCCTCCCTAAGTGTGCATGTTCCAGTGTATGGTGTGTCCCTCCAAAGGGTGTGTTCCTGTGTATGGTGTGTTATTCCTTGTGTTATGTTCTCCTGTGGGTCGTGTTATTTTCCTAAGAATGGTATTCTTCCTTTGCGTATGTTAAAATGATGTGACATGTGATGAAAGGGCAAATTACCATTTAGAATAGCTTTTCATTCTTAAAATCAATTCTGCTTTATGATTATTATTAGACTGTGTGTTAAGCGAGTTTTTTACGAATGCGTGAAACAGCTGCAATGTATACCTGCTGGCCTAACCGGATAGAGGGATCACACAGACACAATTGCAATAAACCTTGCATAAATTTTGTGGGTGTTTAGTAGCATTATTAACGTTAATATAAATCCTGTTTCAAGCACTTTATTATTGTTATTTTTTGTTATCGTTATCATTACCATTATTTTCATTAGCTTTAATGTTGCTATTGATATCATTATCGTTATTATCATCATCATCACCACCGCCACCACCCAAATATCCTCCTCCTCATCGTCAACACCACTACCATCCCCCCCCCCCCCCAACAAAACCACCTCCACCCCCACCCTCACCCCCACTCCCCTCCTCCCCACCACCCCCACCCTCACCCCCACTACCCCTACCACCATCTTTAACCCACCCAACCCACGTAATCTGAACAAATGAACACGTCTCGGCGCTGGAAACCATTCCTCTCCGGGACGGCAACTACGCCAGGACTTGCCATACTTCTTGTCCATCGACCCCTAATGACCCCTGTTGCCTGACCTTCACCTTCGTCCCTTCCCCTGTTATATATACAGTATATAGATCCAAATGGCATGGAAGTAATGAGGGTGTCTATCTACCTATCTATCTGTCTTTTGTCTATCTTTTTTTATTTACTTTTTTCTTTTTCGATTTTTGTTGTTGTTTTTGGGAAGAATGTTGTTTATTAATTATTTTGATTTATTTGTTTATTTCTTCTTTTCTTTATCTTTCCTTGTTGGGTTCGAGTTTTTGTTTGTTATTGGGGAGACTGCTGTTTATATATTGTGTTTATTTCTTGATCTTTTTTCTTTATTCTTTTATGTCTTTTTCTTGATTTATTTCTTTATTTTCCCATCTTTCTCTTCTATCTTTTCCTAATCTTTCATTCTCTCTTTCTTTAAACTTGTTTCTGTATGTGTTGTTCATCTTTTTCTTTGTATATTTTTTGTCTCTTTCTATTGTTTCTATTCCTTTGTCTATTTCTTTGTTTTTATACAGTTTTTGTCTTTCACCAGCTATTTTCTTTTATTTCATTCTTTAAGTTCTTCACTTCCCTTTCTTCACTTTTCACGTATGACTCTGTACTTTCTCTTTTAAATCAGTCTATCGACTATTTTTTCTGACAGTCGTTATCTTCATTCTTCATTCTTCTTTCATTATTTATCACTCTTGTTCTATTTTTCTATCATCTTTGTCATGTTATGTATCGCTCTAAATTTCTTTTCTATGTCTGTCTTTCTCTTCTTATCCATCGTTCTGACCTTTTTCTTTCTCTCGATCAATTGCTCTTTTCCTTTCACTACCGTTTTTATTACTTCTTTCATTTTATATCACTCAGCTTTTGTTTTGTATTGCCCTTCTTTCTTTGTGTGTTATTTCTAAACCCTCTTTATCTATCACCCTAAACTCTGACCTTTCTATATCTATCACTCAAAACTCTAGATTTTTCTCTGTGTATCTTTTATTCTAAACTCTGACCTTTCTATATATATCAATCTCTAAACTCTGACTGTTCTATATCTATAACTCTGTACTCTAGACTTTTCTCTGTTTATCTTTTATTCTAAATTTTGACCTTTCTATATCTATAACTCTGAGTTTTGACCTTTCTATATCTATCACTCTGAGTTTTGACCTTTCTATATCTATCACTCTAAGGTCTGATCTTTCTGTATCTATTATTCTAAACTGATCCCTCTCTGTCTGTCTATAATCATAAACTGTCTTTATCTGTCAGTCCAAACTCTGACCTCTCTCTGTTTATCTATCAGCCAAAACCCCCTTTGTCTGTGAGTCTTAACTCTGACCTTTCCCAATCTTTCGCTCATTGTTTACTGTTGTTTCTTGACCCCAAGGTTTTCTTTTTATTCTCTCTCTTTCTCTTTCTCTCCGTTCCCTCCCTCCGTTCCCTAATCCTTCCCTCTCTCTCTCTCTTCCCCTCTCTCTCTTTCTTACTCTCTCTCTCTCTCTTTCTCTTTCTCTTTCTCTTTCTCTCTCTTTCTCTTTCTCTTTCTCTCTCTCTCTCTCTCTCTCTCTCTCTCTCTCCCTCTCTCTCTCTCTCTCTCTCTCTCTCTCTCTCTCTCTCTCTCTCCCTCTCTTTCTCTCTCTCTCTCTCTCTCTCCCTCTCTCTCTCTCCTCTCTCTCCCTCCCCTCTCTCCCTCTCCCTCTCTCTCTCTCTCCCTCTCCCTCTCATTCTCGTGATCGTAATTTTCTCGGCGAAAATCGATGAACCTTTGTGGCTTATTAGGGAGAAAGTCAGAGCGTGTGATTACGAGACGGATAACGTGTCCATAAAAGTGATCGATCCCCTTCCCTCCCCCTCCCCCCCTTCTCTCTTTTCCACGTTAGGGTTTTCAAGACGGAGGAATCTCGCCTGGGATTTTTTTTTTTTTTTTTAATCATTTTATAGACTTTTTTCAGGGTGATATGGTGGTGTTGGGATTGTGGTTGTGGTTGTGGTTGTTACTGCTGGGTTGTTAGTTGTTTTTTGTTATTGTTAATGAGATTGTGGATAAAATTGTTGTATTTGCTGTGGTGGTAGTTGTGGATGTAATTATATGCTGTGGTGTTATTGCTGCTGTTATGGTTGTGATTGATATTCTTATTATTGTTATTGTTGATTTTGTTATCGTTATTATTGTTTTCTATAGATATTTAAAACCTATCAGCCCTAGCTCAACATTTCAAGCCCTTCCCGTTATATATTTTTTTAATGATAATAAAAAAAAACAAACTTTCAGACCATGGCTTAAGGGAGACTGACTCGCTTTTAAAAATTCTGTTTACACGATGTCTATAGATTATTCTAGAGAAGGAGGATAGGCTCTTGTTGTATTTGTTTCCTGTGTCCTGATTTATGAAAAAGGTTTTGTTCTGATTATTGTTATAGCTTATTTTACATTGTATATTGAAAAAAAGGTAGATGGGGAAAGGGAGAAAGTCGTTAAGTAATCAAAGATTAATTGATATGAATGGATTAATAATAATAAAAAAAAAAGGTTATTTACAAAGGATAAACAAGTCGCCGTCATCTGCGTCTCTACAAAAAACGTACTTCCCAGGCTAGTGAAAATAAAAGAAAGAAAGAGAGAGAGGGAGAGAAAGAGAGAGAGACAGAGAGAGGAGAGGCTGAGAGAAAGGAGAGAGAGAGAAAGAAAGAGAGAGAGAGAGAGAGAGAGAGAGAGAGAGAGAGAGAGAGAGAGAGAGAGAGAGAGAGAGAGAGAGAGAGAGAGAGGGTGGGAAGAGGGAGATAGGAAGATATATAGATAGATACAGAAATGAATAGATAGCTAGAAAGATAGACAGATATATAGATATATAGATAGACAGATATATAGACATAAAGATAGACAGATAAATAGATAGGTCGATCGATCGATCGATAGATAGATAGATAGATAGGGAGAGAGAAAGTGATAGATAGATGGATAGATAGATAGATAAATAAATAGATAGATAGGGAGAGAGAAAGAGATAGATAGATAGGGAGAGAGGAGATAGATAGATAGATAGGGAGAGAGAAGGAGAGATAGATAGAGAGTACATCTCTACATGCAAACGACAACAAGCTCATGCTATGGGCAAACTTATGCCTTCGTGACTTTATAGAACAACAGTTTCCTTTGCATGTTGAAAGTTCGTGTTGGAAATCAAACAA